ATGTTTCATGTATGTATGTATATATTAATATATATATATATATATATATATATACATAATATTTCTCAACATTTACTAAAGCAAATTTTTCCTTTTTCGTAAATTACCAAACAAGAGCCATAAAAAATCATTTTTGCCAAGAGTTCCGTGCTTTGTCCTTTACATCTGGCAGACAGAAATCCATATCAGTGTGTTTAAGTCTTGTGTAGTCGTAACATCTACAAATATCTTCCAAAAAAATCGAGTGTTTTTAACAAAAAAATATTAGTGATATGGATATATAAATTATTACAGGTAAATAATTTTTGCTTCTCAATTTTATATAAAACCTTTTTTAGTTAAGTCTATTACTATCTATCCGGTACATAATCCATTCCTTTATAACAAAATTTTTTTCTAATTAATCTGTATTGACCATTGTTAATTAATGTTAATCAGTATTTTAAAAAACATTGTATTTGACAGAATAAACCTGATGATGGAACGTACCTAGTTCCGAAAACGTCGTATTAAACATCTTCAAAAAACAAATTGTTTTTTATTATTGGATTTACTGTTCGGAAAGAAACAATCAATATATTGAAAAAATCCAGGACTTATCTATTGAATATATATATATATATATATATATATATATATATACATAAATTCACATAAACATAAAATAAAATGATTTATGAGTACCTTTCATTTTTAAACGTGTATTGACAACCCACAATGGAGTGGTAACCATAACATTACAAGCACCAGCAACCATGCCTAAGAATAAATCTTTGAGAGCAGTTTGCTGATCATTGTGAAACAAACGTTTTAATCCATGGAATGTATAAAAGTATACAAAGTTAGAAGCACATAAACTCTTCAAGACAGGTATCATTCCTCTATACAATGTTTCAAAACCTTCATTTTCAATCAGTTTGTGCATCTTCGAGAAGGTCCCTTTAGACTCTATCTTCACAGATTCTTCTACTACAGCGTTAAAGAATGGAATATATTATAAGAATAGAACTTAATATTTGTATAGGCAAAAACTATATAATATGATATAGAGAGAAAAATCATTTGGCAATGCTATGTATATATATATATATATATATATATATATATATATATACGAGTATATATATATATATATATATATATATATATATATATATATATATATATGTAATGCTGATCAATATTAGAACATTTTTCATGACAATATGAAGTTTATATCAAATAATTCTCAACAAGTTAATAAATAAAAAATAGAAATTTATGTACTATATTAGAAACTCAATTAATCAGACTAATTGTTGTCAATAGGCATTTGGATTATCAAAAAACTGAATAATGGTATGTATGAAAAATAATGTTCAAAAGAAATTTCAAATTAACACTTACTTATGTACTAACTTACTTAATACTAAACTAGAGCATTAATCATGGAATAAAATATTTAACTACTTATGTAGGAATAATTTGCCCACAATATGAATTTGGTAACTTGCTTTAAGTAATAATGAAATAATTAAGTAATAAGTTCAATTTGGTATGAAATATTTGGTAATTGTCATTTGGCATAAGCAACTTTTTTTCTCCACTTCTGCTATATCATAAATTGGTCATATATAATATATTGGTTGCAGTTGGAAGTTCGGATAAGTGCAAATCCGTATAACTGAGGACCGGAAAAACGAGTTTCTACTGTATATTACAGTAGAAGTGTAAATTGTGACAATAAATAACAACACTGGTACTTCACCAATTTAAAAAACTAATAATCAAATTTTCACATGAAAGAATAATATTTTTGCATTGTTTTGCTCCAAGTCATAATTTTGGTATATGCAAATAATATGAATATATTGTATATAAATATATATATATATATATATATATACATTTACACATCTTCCAAAAGAGAATGTGATTAAGATTTAATTAGCAAGAAATACCTATAAGAAAAATTATATAAAAAAATTACTTTTTTTTCTTACATTGAAGCCTCGATCGCAAGGTATCTAAGGGGTAGAAAGTGGCCATAGCTACGACGCTCGCCTAGAAAATATATAATTCTATTAACTAAATATAAAACTTTTGTTTAATTTTCAGTATTTACCGAGGATCCAGCTAGCGCATGGACTAGATTTTCATAACTAAGCAAGTTTGATCTTTTTGGACCCATTGTTAAGAATGTTATTTAATTCTACTTATCTTTAAAATTACTATTTAATATAATAGACTTCTAACTAGACTAGAGGTCTGATTGACCTCTAATTAAAATCAATAAATATTATTGATTTCTTGTATTCTGGCGTGGCATTCAAAAAGCCAACTAACACTAAATTATGCTTAATAATTATAGACTTTTGAATTATCCGCACTTTAATCTTTGTACTATAATGAATTCATTCGAAACAGTAGATAACGTTTAACGTCGACAATGCATTGCACAATTTTATGTAAATTAGATTTATGCCAGATACCGATTATTATATTGTCTAGGGGCCGTACTGTTTCGATCATATTTTCAACTACTACTGACAGTTGTTGAGAGAGAACAAATTAAACGATAGATGGCAGAAGTCTTTTTGCCGTCTGGCGAATATATGATTATAGTAGAAGTTCCTTACTCGCGCTTCCTTCATTTGCGTTTTCGCTATTCGCTGCCAAAAAAAAATGGACTAAATTCCTATATTTGCAACTAAAAATTTCGTTATTCGCGGATTCCAATACGTATGGAATCCAAAATCCTTTGTAAATGCCGTCATTTTGAACTAGAAAAGAAATCTTTGACATAAAGCCCCCTTCGCGCTAGGTGTTTTAGGATATGTATAAGCCAATCGAATAAATACAACCTTATTTATTACTCAATGAATAAAACGTATTTTTAGTAAAAATTGACTCAAATTGAAATGAAATTCCCAGTCCATTGAATAAGATAAATTCTTTTCAATAGCTTTCACAAGTAATTACTTAAGTAATAGAAATGTGATATTTAATTTGGAAAATCTTAGCGAAGAATTAAAAATGAACTGTGCGATTTCTTCGTATAATTCGTATGATTCGTATATGGAAACTCTTACATTTAATAGGCAAATTATTTATTCTGAATATTTAGTATTATGTCTATTATTTTATTTTTATTTATTAGTATTTGATCTAATGAAAAAATGTGTATATATTTCATATCTTTTTAAAAGTAGTCTAATAGATTATCGAAATAAAGGTAAATAAAGAACCTTGATAAATGAATGATACTAACTTTGATAAGTGTGAAGATATACCTCTTGTTGCTGTTTTTGCAGCATACTGAATGTACTTCTTTTGGAGATAAGTCTCTTGAGCTTTAAGAGCTATCCTGCTACTGTGTCTAAAATTTTGTCATTTTATCTGTTCTTATTGTTCCGAGATTATTTCTCAGCCTTATGAGCACTCTGTTGTGGACTTCTTGTAGATCTGGGTTTTGTTCTTTTTCTATTCTCTTGGATAAGTTACTTGGATCAGGGACCGCATTCGTTGCTTCGCCTTCTTCATAAATCTTCTGTCCATCTAAGAAAGTAGACGGAGCTTTTCTAATCTTCTCACGTAATATATTAAGTATCTCAGAAGATGAGTGATTTTTGATAAGATTGTTTAAATAACTCTTTTTGTTTCCTGCATTATCAAAACAGAGATCATGCAATTTTTTAAAGGCAGAGCAAATTCTAGTTCCTATTCCAAATAATACCTCAGATAAACCTTTCGGCGTAAAATATTTTGTCTCAGCTAAGAAATGATTTAAATAATTTTCTTTACTAAAGCAAAAATTATGGAAACTTCTTAAAATAGAAGTGGCATTGTTTCCTGCCATGGATAGTATATTGGATAAATCATTTGGTTTAAATCCTACTATATAAAAATCACCTAGAACATGCGTTTTGTTTCCTGTCTCATCAAAACAAATATCATGAAAATCTTTTAAAGCAGAGCAAATATTAGATCTTGCTCCATGCAATATATTACACAAATTACTCAGTGTGAAACTTTCTTTCTCATCTAAAAAGTGATTTAAATACTTTTTTGTTTCTTCTGCAAAACAAAATTCATGAAATTGCTCTAAACTATCAACTGCTCCACTCAATATACTACATAAAGCACCAGGACTAAAATCTGTCTTGTAGAAATCATCTAAGAGTTTTGTTTTTTTTCTTTCCTTGGTAAAACAAACACCATGCAATCTTTTCAAAATAGAAGAAGCTTGAACTCCTGATCCAAATAGCATGGCTGATAAGTTACTTGGCCTAAAACCTGCATTATAGAAATCATCTAAAAGTTCTGTTTGTTCTCCTTTATTATTAAAACAGACATTATGTAATTTTTCAAAAGCATCTGGAGCTTTAGCTCCTGCTTTACTTAAAATGCCAGATAAGTTATGCAGTGTAAAACCTTTTTCCCCATCTTTTTTCTTAATAAAATGCTTTAAATGCTGTTTTTTATTTCCTTGCTCATCAAAAAAAGTATTATATAGTTCTTTAAAAGCTTCAGGAGCATTAGCTCTTGTTCTACTTAAAATACTTGACATATTAGTTAGATTTATTCCGTTTTTTTCTAGAGTTTTTAAATAGCGTGTTTTATTTCCTTGTTCATCAAACAACAGATCATATAAGTCTTTAAAAGCTTTGGGCGCATTAGCTCCTGCTCCACTTAAAATATTAGACATATTTATTGGATTTATACCATTTTCTTTCAGAGTTTTTAGATATTGTGTTTTATTTCCTTTTTCATCAAACAACAGATCATATAAGTCTTTAAAAGCTTTAGGAGCATTAGCTCCTGCTCCATTCAAAATGCTAGACATCCTAGTTAGATTTATTTCGTTTTTTTCTAGAGTTTTTAAATAATGTGTTTTCTTTCCATACTCATCAAAAAAAGTATTATATAGTTCTTTAAAAGCTTCAGGAGCATTAGCACCTGCTCCACCTAAAATACTAGACATAGTGGCTAAATTTATTCCTTCCGCTTCTAGAGTTGTTAAATATATTGTTTTATTTCCTTTCCTATCAAACCACAGATTATATAAGTCTTTAAAAGCTTTTACGGCATCAGATCTTGCTCGATGTAAAATACTGGATACATTTGTTAGATTTATTCCGTTTTTTTCTAGATTTTTTAAATATTCTGTTTTATTTCCTTTTTCATCAAACAACAGATCATATAACTCTTTAAAAGCCTTGGGAGCATTAGCTCCTGCTCCACTTAAAATACTGGATAGAGTAGCTAAATTTATTCCTTCTTCTTCCAGAGTTTTTAAATATATTTTTTTATTTCCTTCTGCATCAAACCATAGATCATATAAATCTTTAAAAGCTTTTGCAGCATTAGCTCCTACTTTGTTTAAAATACTGGACACAATAGCCAGATTTATTCCATTTTCTTCTAGAGTTTTTAAATATTGTGTTTTATTTCCTTCTGCGTCAAACCAAAAATGATATAAGTCTTTATAAGCTTTTGCAGCATTAGCGCCTACTCTGTTCAAAATACTGGTCATAGTGGCTAGATTTATTCCATTTTTTTTTAAAGTTTTTAAATATAGTGTTTCATTTCCTTCAGAATCAAACCAAAGATCATATAAGTCTTTAAAAGCTTTGGGAGCTTTAGACCCTGCTCCACCTAAAATACTGGACATGTTAGTTAGATTTATTCCGTTTTTCTCTAGAGTTTTTAAATATCGAGTACTATTTCCTTTTGCATCAAACCAAAGATCATATAAGTCTTTAAAAGCTTTTGCAGCATCAGCTCGTGCCCTATTCAAAATACTGGATACATTAGTTATGTTTATATTGTGTTCTTCTAGGGTTTTTAAATATTGTGTTTTATTTCCTACTGGATCAAACCAAAGATCATATAAATTTTTAAAAGCCATGGTAGCATTCGCACCTGCTCCACTTAAAATACTGGACATATTATTTAAATTTTTTCCTTTTGTTTTCAGAATTTCTAGCCTTTTTTCTTTAATTAAAAAATTTAAGAACTTATGAAATGCAGGTGTTCCTTTTTTACCAACCACACTCATAGCAAATTTAATTTCTTCATCAATGTTTTTATTTTCAATTTCCTGATAACTAGACCTATTATTTTTTATATCTTGCAAAAATTTTGCCATTATTTCTTTCGTGATATGACCATATTCATCAGATTCTGACCAACGTATGGCTACTTCATGTAGTTTCTCATAATCATATGGAACATCAGACTTACTTATCACATTTCTAATAACACTATTCAAATTTTCCCTATTTGGTTGATTAACTGCAAATATTAGTTTATCTAAAAATTTCGTTTTTATCTCTATTTCACAATCATCAGAAAGTCTTTCTTTCTCTTCTGCCTTCAGCAAAGAAAGTGGAAGTTTTAATAGCCTTAAAAGTTTCTGTCTTGTTGTATCTTCTTGCACAAATTGATAAAGAGCATTTCTATTTATACACGAACAATTTCTTAAAATTTTATACCTTTTTTTACGAATATCTACACTATCAAATTTTAAAGGATAAAAATCTTTAGATTGCCCTTTGTTTAATATTTTCTCTTCAGTAAGGTTTAGATCTGCATTTGTATAGATAATAAAATATTTTATATTCTTATGAAATTTTAACATTTCAACGAAAAGAGTAAAGTATTTATTAATAGAAAATGTATTCTTTTCTTCAAGACTTTTGGATGGAAATAACTGATCATAACCAATATTACTATCTGCAATATGAGCTTTTATGTAAGAAACTCTATCTTTATAATTAATAGTTATATTATTAGATGTATTATTGCCTTTTTCCTCAAAACTTATGGAAAGCATGTTTTTATTCAAGAACATATCATGCAAGAAGAGTATTAATAAATTGAATTCATATATAACTCCAGATATATAATTCTTAAGTTTTTTATTCTTTTCTGGAGATGTAAAATCACACAATATTTTTTCTTGTAATGCCATATAATCGCCTTGAACTATACTATTGTTTTTAATTTCCTTTTTAACAATATTATTCAATTCTTCTCTATTAGGCTGATTAACTGCAAGTACTAATTTATCTAAAAATGCTTCTTTTGTTTCTTTTTCAAACTCTTGAGAAAGTTTTCTCATTTTTATTGCTTTTCGCATAGCAGGAGAAAATTCTAATTGCTGTAAAAGATCTTCTTTTGTTGCCTCATCCTGCAAAAACTGATAAAAACCACTCCCTTGCATATTATCATTTGTAAACAGAAAGTCTTTTAAAATGTCACATTCCTCTATATTTATGCTAACAAATTTAAAAGGATGAAAACTTTTCAACCGTCTTTTTTTGAATTCCTTTTTACCTGTAATATCCAAGCCTGAATTAGTATAAATAATCAGATATTCAACATTATTTGATGAATTATCTGATTTAGAGATTAGATGTTTAACAAAACTACCAAAGTAACTATTAATAGAAGAACTTCGTCTTTCTTTAGTAAATAATTTAGCATAACTAATATCATTATATTTGGCTGCATTTTCAATTCGTATATGAAGAGACTTCTTTTCATAACGAATAACAATATTACTAAACATATCAATTTCAAAGTCCTCAAACACTAATGACAATGAAGGATATTTATGTTCATATGTAGACTTTCTAAGTGAGCATAGCACTGACAAATCTAACTGATACATCAATCCAATCAAATGATGAGGAATGTATTGCTTAGTTTGATAAGTATTATCCAATTCATTCTGTCTTGGTTTATCTTGTAAATCAGTAGGGTATTCTGAATCTGTATTGCTAGTAATATTTACATCAAAGTGTGGCCTCTTTGATGCTATAACATCTTTGTCAGTAATAGAATGCCAACGTTTCCTACTCGCTTTATGATTTTTCTTATGTAGATTCTTTGAATGACTACCTTGATCGGCTGAGGAATTTTCATTATCTTGTAATGGTGTAGAAATGTAAGATTTAGAAATATTGTTTAAATCTGAACTTATTACATTATTGTAAACTTCCTTTCTAGAAACTTTTATGCTTCTCTTTATATATTTTCCAATCTTTCTAAAAAGTGGTACTTCAGTAACATGTAATCCATTTATCTCTTCATCTCTCAGTTCTATAATCTTAACCTTAGCGCCATACATTTCAGATATCATTTTTCCTTCAACTTCAGGTCTTCTCCATACAATATATTTCAGAATTTTTATTTCCGAATCAGAGTTTCAATATCTTCTGTAGTAAATTCAATACACAGAATATATTTACAAAATTTTCCACCTTCTTCTTTTAAAGCTCTATCCAACCATGAACCTTTTTTTGATTGATTAAATTGTTGTGCATATTTGTTACAACTCCCTCAAAGACTTAACACTCAATCTGACCTCAATGTTTTAGCTTCTTTAATCTTTTAGCTATGAAATCAAAGAAACAATCTCCTTTGCGTTTAGCAGCTCCTATCTTAAAGCAATATCTTCCTTAGTGTCTCACAACATTAAGCTTCTTTGTTTCCTCTTCATTCTTTGTTCTGCATTTTTTATCTGACTGAAAATTAAAATAAGTTCTCTAGTAATAAAATCTTACTTTTTTAAAGAGCTCTTACTATTAGGTGATTTACAAACTCTTTATTCTCGCTTAACATATTGATTCACAAATTGTGAAACAATACTAAACTATTCACAAGATAGTAGAAAAAAATCAACAGAGTAAAGGTATCTTTTTATGATTTATAATATTATTTCAATAGGTAGTAAGGTATCACTTTACATATATTAGATATATATTTTAAAAAAATTTCATTAAATTAATAATATGGTAACTTTTGTTTAATTAAAAATAATACCAGTGAGAATAGTTTCTGTTGGAATGGATTAGTCTGTAGTGTGTTATTAGTCTATAATTAGTCATACGAACTTTTTTATATATACAGTAATACCCCTTTTAGCGCTGTTTCGGTTTAGCGATCCTTTATTTCAACCCCAGTTCTGAAGGGATAAATGAAGAAGATGTCAAAGAAATAATTCAAGAAGCAGCTCAGTCTTTCTATAGGTGAGCTCAAGGAATGAACTGAACAAGAAGAAAACAAAAATGTTGACAGCATTGATTCAGTGGAAAAACAAAAACAACTTTCAATGGTGTTTATAGAAAGGAGTTTGTCTACCATAACTGAAATTAAGTATCAATTCATTGATCCAAATTTTGACAGGAGGTCTAAAGTAAGGCGTGGGGTTAGCGATGCTCTATCCGTTTATGAAGAACTTTTAAGAGTACAACGCAAAAGAAAAAGAGAAACAACATTAGATGCTTTTGTCACAAAACGACAAAACACTGAAAACACGAAAGGCTAACTAATATGACTGACTTAGAATGTTAGTTGTTTTTTCAAGAATATTCGTTTTGTTATTTATATTTTATCTATTGCAAGAAATAATAATGTGGTACTAATTTGAGCTTTAAGAAATAAATGTTTGGTTTTATTTTCTGTAAAAATAACATACATTTTAAATTTAATACCAAACCAATTTCGTAGCCCCTAACCCCAATATTTCTATATGTAAAGATAACCTCGATTAGCGCTGTTTCCCGGGGTATTGCTGTATTTATTTTGCCACACGCTGAATCATCTACATATAATGCTACATACATGCTTTTGCTGATCTTACATAGGAACCATCAATTTGTTCAACTGCAATAATTTAAATCTTCTATTTTTGTGAACTTACTTTTACGCGGCTTAAAAATATACGACCTTTTTGCAATTTTGGGAAGAGTCAATAATTCAATTTTTTATAACACTAATCAGCGTGGTACTCTTTTTAGAAAATACTCGTTGACTCGTTAACTTATAAATTAATAAACTCTCCACTAGAATTAGCTTGTGATTGTTTATTCTGCATTCTGCTCGACAAAAGACGAATGACTTGAAGTTAACAGCTTGAGAAAATGACAAATGACAGTTCTGAGCCGTTCAGCACGAGCTGCGTTTTCTGTGTAACATCACAACATGAATATTCTGCCAAAGAAAAGGTGAATTAAATAAACTAACGAAAATACATGGTATTTTGTGCTTGTGAATATTACAAATAAGGAAGATTATCAAACTTTTTATGATATTGTCAAACTTATTTTTCTCCTAAAGACTAGCCGTAATGTTTTGGATCATTTGGATGAGCATCCGCTTAATATATGCATTTATGTGTATGTATTAAGTAATATCTAATATTTCTATTTAATGTGCTAATAATTTTTGAGAAGCACTGTTGTCCAACTGTATTTATTTAACAAAATGCAAATGTTTTGCTGCTCCTTCTCGCATTTCTTGTATATTTTAAGAATATAAATCTTCTTTACTCTTACTATGTAATGAAATGAATAGTATGTTATTTTTAAATGTGATTGGACTAATCTAAGGTCCTTAAAAGACCTGAGTAATGTAATAGAAAACTCAATAATTACATAAATATTTTTCTTGCTGTTATTTTGAATTTTTTTTAATCATAATCATATTGTTTGGCGCTTTGTATAGTTTTGGTGGTAGTTAAATTAAATGGCAATTTGAGTTATGTTTTAAGTCAAAATTTTGAATATTGATTTTAATTATGTTATTTTTTATATTGTATAAACATTTATTATTAAATATTTTATATGTTTGCAGATGGCATGTGAGAACCAAAGAAAATATTGCAAGAGTTCGCAGAGATGAGGCACAAGCCGCCGAGGAAGAAAAGGCTCGAATAGAAAGATCTAAACTTGCTGTAAGAAAATTGCTAATTTAAGTACTAATATTATACTGATTGTTCATTTGTATGTTATTAATAGTAGTTAAACTAATGTTAGTATTACAAAATTTAATTTAACATATTTCATAGGATCAAGAAGCCAGAACAGAATTACTGCGAAAACGTGCTAGAGAGACATTTAACACCCATGTAGATGATCATAAAAACTTGGAAGCATCTGAAACTCTGAATCATGTTAATTTCTTTTCTGATATAGAAAATGGTCAAGACTGTACTAAAAGAAAAAATGTGGATCACGAGAAAGAGATTAAAGAAGAGAAAGAAAAATATGAAAAACAAATTGGATATCTCACTTATTTAGGTCAGGATACAAATGAAGCATTAGGTAAGAAGAATTGGTATGATGTTTTGCCAGAAAGGAAACAAGCCAAAAATTCTGAGGAGAAAGGTATAGAGGTGGGATTAAAATTGAAACATTTTCATGATCCTTACCAAATCATAAAAAAATACAAAACATCAAATGGAAAAGCCGATGAAATTAATAGAGATATTTCAAGAAAAATTAAGCACAAATTGAAACACAGTAAAGTATCAAAAAAAGAAAGTAAAGTATCAAAATCATCTAAGCATAAGAAAAAACATAGTCGAAAAAAAAAAGAAACTCTTAATATTGTGACTCAAAAAAGTACTAAGATAGAGGAATTACGCAAAGCAAGGCTAAAAAGAGAAGCAGAAGAGCGTCTAAAAGCAGATATGTTATTAGGAAAAACTGAACCATCAAAATGTAAACCTAACATTATTGGGGAAACATCAGCAATCACACAAAAATATAATTCACAGTTTAATCCTGAATTTGCCAGACAAAATTATGCAGCATCGAACAAAATTGTATGAATTTGAGTCTTTAGCAATACTATACAAAAGAAAATATTTTAATTTGTATTACTAGTTATATATTATATAAATATCAGTCATAATATTGAGACTTCATACATTCACATGCACGCTTCTGCCGGAATTGTTACACCACCAGTATCTATAGCATCTTCTGAGTTATCATGATGTTGATGCCGCATCAAGAAATATTGCTGAGTATCATCATCCTCAGAGTCTCTACTTGATATCTATATTACATAAATATAATGAATATATATAAATATTATTTACAATAATAAATTTTGATTTAATGATTAAAAGGAGTTTTTATCAAACCTTTAACTTTAAGGATTTCGATTCACACTTCTCTCTTTGCCTGTAGATCAATTGTGATGTAGTATTACTATTCTTTTCTAGTTCTATAATAATTTGTTTTAGAATGATATTAATTATACAATATAATTAGGAATTTTATCTTAAATAATTAGTAATTTTTATGGTAATATAAAACTGTACTAAAATTGTACTAAATATAAATAAGCTTGGGCCAACTATGCACAAGGTCTTGGAAAACATTTATAAAACTCTAGAAATTAGAATGATAATAAATCAGGAATGTGCCAGATAGATTTACTTTAGTACTTTAATTCTGATTTTAGTTTTGATATTTTGAAACTATACTAACCTGGGTTAAAATTCCAAGCTGCTCTTTTATTTTTATCTTGCTCGATTAGTCCCCTTTCGTGATCAGATATGTGAGATTCATAAATGTTTTTATTAACAGTTTTGAATGAGCATTCTTTACAACAATAAACACCAGGTTTATCTTTGTGCTTTGTTTTCATGTGCATCTTGAATGCGCAGCTCTGAATTGCTGCGTAAGGACAGTATGAACATCTATATGGCCGAACCTAATATTTAAAAAAAAAAAAACAGTTATAAGGTGTAAAAATTTAATATACATATCAAATTTAAACTGAAATATTATTAAACTTACACCAGTATGCCGCATTAAATGTCTTCGTAATGTGTTATGATCGCTTGTTCTATAATCGCATTCAGTACAAGCATAGGGTTTTTCACCAGTATGTTGTCGAAGATGCATCTAAAAAAGTAACATTTTTGAAATACTGAAAAAATTTCAATGATATAAATTTTTTAAAATATCTAAATAGATCACTATTGTATTCATTTTATCAAATAAAATATAAATCATTGATTATCAACATCTTATCAAAATAGTTGGTATTTTGCCTTGAGGCAAGTTACATGAACTTCCCAATATGTGTAAATAATCGAAATAATCAATAAAAAATAAAAAATTAATTTTTGAGTGATTAAATGTATTCTGAGTGCATTTATCACACATAATTAAAAACGATTGAACACATTAACTCGGAGTATTTTCTAAAAGCAAATTTTCAAAATTCAACAATTTTTATAATTGATCCAGTTTCCATAGGACTTTAATGGTTTAGTATGTTCATTAAGACCAAGTACTCTATCGTTATACCAAGTAAATCGTCTAACTTTAATTTTAACAAATATCAAAAAAATCTACTCATTTTCTCAAACTTTGATGAATTTTTAAAATTAAACTACCCGTCGTAAGGCCGTAATATTTCAGTTCTATAACACCATGATATATATCACCAAAAAAGTTCCATAAAAATCGGCTTAATTTTATTTTTCATCAGTTAATTACACGAAAACGGCTCGGTAGATTCTCATCTGAAACTAAATAGTATTGTTAGTATCAATCCCAATTAAAATGATTAGAACAGTTTTTTATTTTTTAAAATCGATTCGGTAGTACGTGCTTAAATGTGGACGAAAAGTTTAACACTTTTTTATAAATTATAAAAAAACGGCTCGGCAGATCGCCGCACAAAACTGGCAAAAAATAGCCCTCCTCATCGAGATATTACATCGAATGGCTTTTAAATTTATGAAATCGGTCCAGCCGTTTTTTGAGAGAACGTCGATTTACGGCAAAAAATCTGTTCACATACACGCACACATACTTTTACCAAATTTGGTCTCATTCGATTAAGAATGACTTGAAACGTCGAGGAAACATAATATTAGCTAATCGGATTTTTTTATGAAAACAAACTTCTCCTTCGGGAAGTTAATAAATTGTTAAGTGCACATGAATTTTAAATTTTGTGTTTTGTCGACATTTCTCTGAATTTCAAAAATTAAAAAGCGATTTCATAAAATTTGATAAGGGCTCAATTTAATATAAAAAATTTTGCGAACAATTTCAAACAAAATTTTGAAGCTATTTCAAAAACCGTTGGAAAGATATAAATAAATTGCAAAAATTAATTTTTAGCAAAGATCAACCAGGCCATTCCAACGTAATTAGCGCATTTTAAGTTATAATTATTCATTCACGATTTCTCAGAACATCCTAATCCGTTTTGAGCTGAAAGTTTATTGTGCTGATTAATTTTTGAAAAATTTCAGTGAAACCGTTTCTTCATATAATTTATCTTGCACATTTTCTCAAACTATTATACTTAAAAAAAATTGAGAACCTTTCAAAAGATATAGGTTTAATATAACTTTGTTTTTGTATGATTATTTAATGTCTATTTAGTAGTTTGAGATTCTCATTAGCATTTTTAATCTTGTATAGAAATTTCTTCTTTTTAGCATTTTCAAAATATTAAAAGTTGTTTTTACTTATTATTCAAATTATTAATTGTTCTGAGTATTCAGAAATTCATACAATTTTCTTGAAGGCAAAATACCACCCATACTCAATGCTAATTTTGACTTTTCAGTTCAATAAACGTAAAAATTTTTCATATAAGAAAAAATAAATTAATAGAACTGAATATTAAAAACATAAAATATTAACTACAAGAAAATTATACAACATTTTTGATACACTTTTTTTTGCTTTAATATACTACAACCGTTCATGTGTAAATTAGTGCTTTAATTTATTGCATATTTAAATTGAAATGTGTAATTTGTAATGAATTTGGTTAATGAATATATGAAAAAAACTTGTTATAGGAACCATGTGGTATCTTAAATTTATTTTTATAAAAGAAGTTTACTCTAAAAGAATGTTTATGTATTTAAAATGCATTTCACAAGTATGTTTGTCAAATGGCAATTTGTGTACTCTGCCTTGATTCTGAATTCAGTGTTCAGCAACTTATTTGAATCAAACAAAGAAAAATTTAATGAAAGTACTGAAGAACTATCAGCAATTAGGTACAAACATTTTTAACTTCATTGGCACAATTTTACATAAAGAAAATAATTTGGAAAAGGACTGTCTGAGATATTGACTGCTAAAATCATTAACATTTAAAAACAATTATGAGTTGCACATACCTGCAGCATTGCCTTTCTAGTGCATGAATGCCCACAAACATTGCATATGAACGGTCTTATTTTACTATGGATCGCTTGTATATGCTTTTTCAAACACTTTGAATTTGCAAAAGATTTTAAACAAATTTCACACTTTTTTGAGGTATACCTGTAAATGCACATAAAATAATATTTAATTGTATTATCAAGAAAACTAAAGTATATATAAATGAAGTAGTATTTGATGACATTATCGACATTAAATACCATCTTTGAATTTGTGTTTTTCTCCTTGCTAAGTGAAGAACTTTATGATTATGTAATTGGCCAGATTGTTTAAATGCTTTGCCACATTCTCCACAAATAAAACTTTTTGATAAACCATGAATTTTCATGTGGTGACTCAATTTCACTGTAAATGTTGAGAATAAAACATTACATATCTAATACTCTAAATATTCATTAATTTATCAAATTTTGATGATTTAAGTTATTCAAAGTATTCTTTAAAAAGAAGTATTTAGAGCCTATTATAACTAAAAAAAAAACTCTTTTGTAAAACATTTCAATATCGCTTTCTTCAGTATTGTAATGCTCATAATGATTTTTCTGAATGCTGTTAAATAAAATTATAAAAATTTTGGATCACCTGTTGTTGGAGTTTTATATTCATAACAAATCGGACATGTCAGCATATCAATATCTAATAAATGCATACGCCACAAATGCACTGAACAAGTTCTCCAATTTATAAAATCTTCATTACATTCAAAACAACTGTAAGAATTATGTTAAATTATATATAAATATATATATATATATATATATATATATATATATATATGTATATATATATATATATAATTCTGTACTGCCAAATATATGAAGATAATTACCAAAATAATTTCGATGAACTCTTGTGACATTTTGAATGTTTCTCCAAACTATCACTATCTTTAAAACGATATGGACAGTTATTAATTATGCATCTGTAATTAACTCAAATTATTGATCTCAAATTTCATTTCATTTATAAAATAGTTGCTACTTACTTATTTTGCCAATCCGACATCAATGCAGCTTTTAAGTCTTTCAAGCTATTAATCAACATCCAATGTGATTCCTTCATATCCTCTATATTTGCTTCATCTGATTTATTTGGTACACAAATTTCAGTAGATAATTGTTTGTTATCAAAGTCAGATGAAATATCAGAATCAGAAATCTTTCGAGTTAGTTTGTGGTCCTACAACCAAAATGAGGCAAATATTTCACATATTCTTTTATTTATTCTAAAATTGCTTGACAGCATTGAACAATATAATAATACCTTAATCATATGTGATTTACACTCATCAATGCTTCCATAGCCTCGTGAACATTGTCCACACATATAAAGTAATTGTTCTGATTTAACTTCTATTTCATCAAAATTGTATGTATTATTTTCAATATCTGAATAACCTTCTTTCTGTAGGGTAAAATATTATTATTTCTATTACATAACATAGAATGAAATAAATATACGAGAATGTTTTTTACTTCAGCATAAAGCAAAAAATAAATAATAATTTGAACAAAAAATAAATGGCCACAAAAAATTTCATGTAAAAAAAATAGGACCATAAAGAGTAAATGGAATTCTAAGACATATTAATATGCATTGCAAATGCCAGCCTAATATCAAATTGATTTCATTTAAATTGGTCAGCTGATTTCTATAGTGTATAAAGTTCATAAAGGACTTTTTGGTTGAATGAAAAGAAGTGCAAGAATTCTTAAGTGTCTACTTTTTGCATGACTGATGACTGAAGATCAGAAATTTGTACAATGATAAAGCTTACCTATCATTTGTCGTAGGTCTTAAAGAAGAGAATTAAAGAAAAAATATGATTGATAGTTTCTTTAAAAATTCAGAAGCTAAAAGGGCAAAAAAAAAAAGAAGCAGTACCACTCTGATAATAACTTATTTCGTAAATAGCTAATATTTTTTAAATGTTTTAATTCTATGTAAAAAAATTAAATGTAAAATTTCATTTTAATGTACTTGTATGGAAAAACGCGTCTCACATAGCAAACTTTCATACTATTTCTAGCAAAAATTGAATAATACCTTAACTTTTGTTGCTGATATTTCTGTATGTTCTGTTTTATAATGATCTATTAACAACTGTTTATCTTGCACAGTAAAGCAACATTTCCTGCATTTATAAGCTTGGACTACATCGGCCATATCATTAATTTCACCTTCAAAAATTGGTTGACACTCATAGTCACTTCTAAAACCATCAAATGTAGCTAGTGTTGTATTAGGATCAGCTTCATTTGCATCTGATGTACTATCAGTATTTAAAAGTATTTTAACTTGCGAGCAATGAGCATCATTATGGTCTACATCAGAAACAATATAATTAATTTTATCCATTTTGTGTTATACTATTTAATTAATATGGAATTCTAATCTTTACTTAACCTACCTACAGTAGGAACTAATTTAAATCCATATTGCATGCCATTTAAGCTTATTGTGTATCTTGTGTCAAAATCCTTATTTGGTTTAGCATGCAGTTCACAATCAGCATCTTCCTGCAAAACACAAGAAATTAAGAATGCAGCATTTACTAGTTACATTGTAATACTCCATTAAATTCACCTCAACTAAATATTCAATGTTTTGAATTTCATCGGATTCACCATTTGACAACGATTGTGGGTGAAGAACATCTAACGCATGAATATTTATTGTGCTTTCGCCTATAAAATAATATACAAAATTAAACACCAATACAAAAATGCATTTAAATTTATAACCATGAGTTAGCTAATAAAGCACCTGTTGAATAAATAGGTAAAGCCCATGATGTTTCTTCAGGAATGGTTTTATCGACAGTGTCTATAATTTCAGTTCCATCCTCAATACTTGAAAGGTCTTCGCATTGTACTTGTTGGGCTTGGTTAACTAAAGACTGAAATTACCATAAGAATTTATTATGAAATATACAATTAAGTATATTACAAGTATTAACTCTATATATTATATTAAATGCTATAAAGCAAAATATATGCTTTAATAAACAAATAACCAAATAATGCAGTTATTTATCGCAATGCAATTTTAATATATTTCACCTGCAGTTGATTTTGTAGATATTCTGTTTGAAAATCTGACGAATCTCCATTTGTAGAAGTGCCAAATGGCAGGGCCAATGCATATAATTGTTGATTGTTATCACCACATAGCAGTTCTAGAACATTAGTCATTATTCTAAAAAATAATTGAAATTTTAATACATAATAAATTTAAATTAAATTAAAATAGGTGTATAAAGGGAGTTCTATCTTAAAAAAACTTAATTCATTGAATAACTGTACTCATAAAGCGAAAACCTAGTTATGCTAAACAAATGTTACCACGATCTATATACTTGGCTACTAATTATATGAAAAAACATTATCTATGTGCTTGTTAGAAAAATTATTCATTGAAAGGTGTACTTGTTATAAAAGATTTTGAAATCTTGAAAATGAAAGTTTCAAATTAATTCATTAAAATGGTTTTGATCATAATTAATCATTTATAATTTAGCCTATGATAATATAATTTTTATTCAATCGCAATAATATTAGTTAGAAGTGAGGTTATATGTTTGTTTAATTAATTTATTGAATGCAATATTTTATTAAAATACTATAGTGTGACATGAGCATAATCATATCCAAAGTCTTACCTTGAAAACTATTTAGAAATTCAGTAAAACAAATTAATTTGGTATAAATGTCAAGTTCACTTGAAATTTTTACAATAACATCGTGATATAATTAATACGTACTACATATTATACATCAATTACTATATTTCTAACACATAATAATGTCAATTACTTCATATTTGACATAAATAATTTAGGTTTAATTAAATTTTAATTTTAAATAATAAAATTGGCAATTTGCAATGTTTTCATGATTGCCAACTGAAAAATAACATCATGAAATCGAAAGCCCGGTGCTTTCGGCATGTTAGCTTCGGCTTTGTTTGACAGTTTAGTTTACAAGCTTTTTGTTTAAGGAGATTGTTGTTCGGAGGGCATTCAAATCTTCATGTAAGAATAAATAACGGACTGATTTTGTTGAGGAATTGAAGTACATTACGGCATTAGTGCGTAGATAAAATCCGAGTTATAAAACGGTAACGAAGTACTTACTTTTTACGCCAATTTTAAAGTGCATAACCAATATAATAGAACAATGGCGAAGATATTTCGCGCGGTATGTGTATCCACTATTGATAATTCGCATAATTTTAAACCAAAGTTCGAATTCCCAGTTAATATATTAACTGATTATGATCCACAAGGGTTAAGTGTTAAAATACTACGAGCCGATGATACTTCACATGTAGGAGATTACGTTGTTGAATTTCCTGTGACAAATAGCAGTGAATGTTCCCGAATTTCGAAATTAGGATACGTTTTTAATATTGACAATGAAACTCTGCATTTTAAATTTTCCAATGAAAATGACGCGCGGGAATTTCATTGCAAAGTCACGAAGGCAAAATCAGGCAAGCATACTTCTATATTTTCTGATAGAACAGAGGATTCTTCAGCCCTGCAGTATTTTCAGTTTTATGGTTATCTGAGCCAACAACAAAACATGATGCAAGATTTTGTGAGAACTAGTACGTACCAGCAAGCAGTATTAAAAAATTTGAGCGACTTTGAAGGAAAAATAGTCTTAGATGTTGGAGCCGGTTCAGGAATACTTTCTTTCTTTGCAGCTCAAGCAGGTGCAAAATGTATATATGCTGTGGAAGCGAGTAATATGGCTACTCACACACAACATTTAGTAGCGGCTAATAATATGTCAGATCGCATAATAGTTATAGCTGGTAAAATAGAAGAAATTGATCTACCACAAATGGTCGATGTAATAATATCTGAGCCAATGGGGTACATGTTGTATAATGAAAGAATGTTAGAAACATATATACATGCTAAAAAATGGCTCAAACCGGGAGGAAAAATGTTTCCTTCTAGGGGAGATTTACATATAGCCCCATTCACAGATGAAACATTATACATGGAGCAATATAATAAGGCAAATTTTTGGTTTCAGTCTAGTTTTCATGGAGTTGATTTAAGTTCAATGAGAAATGCAGCTATGAAAGAATATTTTCGTCAACCGATAGTTGATACCTTCGATGTTAGAATATGTATGAGTAAATCTGTGCGCCATGTGGTGGATTTTCTGGAAGCAAATGAGTCTGACTTACACAGAATTGAAGTACCTTTTGATTTTCATCTATTAGAAACGGGCCCCTGCCATGGTCTTGCATTCTGGTTTGATGTTGCATTCAATGGATCTACACAACAAATTTGGCTAAGTACAGCTCCCACGGAACCTCTCACCCATTGGTACCAAGTCCGCTGTCTTTTAGAAAATCCTATATTTGTTAAACAAGGCCAGCTTCTGACTGGTAGAGTTTTACTTGTGGCTAATAAGCGTCAGAGTTACGATGTTACTATGGATTTAACAGTAGAAGGAACCACAATTACATCGAGCAATACTTAGAACTACTAAAAAATCCATATTTCAGATATACAGG